GTGTGCAATAATCCTTAAACTGTATTTGCTGTGGGCACGCGACGCGCTAACATCAAACGCTCTTTTGCCCAATTCAAACAAAGCGAAATCACGAAGAGCCTGATCTAACGTCTCGAATGGATTTCATACCAGACCATGAGAATATGGTCATTTAAGACGGCCAAAACTCAGTATGGAGTATTTTTAATTATATGAATTCTTAAGAATTGCAGTCAATAATACAATAAATTACTTTCGATCATTTGACATACATTATTAAAATATACTCCGAATTAATATCAGTATTATCGAATACGTAGCGTAACAAAATTATAAAGGAATAACTAGTGTAAGTACCATATGTTTCAATTATTACCTTCAAATTCCTCATTGAGTTAAAGAATAACATCATCTCCTTTTCCTTTACAATGCCTTCGCAGTGTCTGAGTGAATTTAATTGAAGTGTGTCAATCTAAGATATCATCTATCAATTAAATATAACTAATTTGATTCAAATTTCTTTTATCCTTTGTATACACAACTATATAAAAAGTCATCGAACATTTTTACAACATTTCACAGTTGAAGTTATTCAGTAATGGTTTGAATACTGAAACTCTACAACAGTATATTTTAATGAAATTATTTAGGGTTTTTGTATCAATTGTAAGTATCTATCAGTTATTGTACTTAAACAAATAACTTTTCACTTCATCAGTGACCAAATTGTCTTTGCAGCATTATCTGATGACTTGGCTATAATAAATTGCAACTATATACGATTTATTTATAAGACTGTTCTAATTCTTGAAACTCTCCATCAGCTAATCCATTGTATCATATAATTCACAATTTTGTGTTTATTTTTCCAAGCAAAAAAACCTAGGTAGGATTGTTATTTTTTTAAAGTTATGTTTGTTATTGTTAACTTTTTATCTTTGTATGTATCGATTTGTTTGAGTTTGCATTTAACTGTTGTTCTAATTTGTTTGTATAAAGTACTGTCTATTGCTAAATATGTAGTATTTTGATATTAAGTTTCGTCATTGAAGCATTTTGTCTTTAATATTACTGAAAATTGTGTGTTTTTTATGGGGTTTCATGGGTTTCAAAAGAACAAAAAATAGGTAATAAAAGTATTTTTACGATTTTATTTAATATAAGCTGTCATATATTTTTAAAATTTTAAATAGCATATCAAAGGTACACATTTCATAAATATCTCCATAATTATTTATAACAAAAATTTTGAAACTTCAGCCGTTGAGACCTCATCTCCCTGGGCGTCTCACCTAAAAGTGCTCGCGCCGTGAACAAGCATGACTTATTATTGGTTTATCTAAAATTAAAAAACCAAAATGATTCCGTTAGTACATACATATATAAAGCTCGTATTTGAACGAAGGAAAAAAAAATATATTTACATTTTTTCTCCGACTTTGAACAAAAAATTTAATTTTTTGGTTAAAGAATCGCCATTTATTGGCTTAAAAAAATAATTATAATTTTCATCTTCTTTTTGGGCGCATACTCATGGCTGTTTCAGCCAAGTTTCAAGTCCATCCCACGCAACAAAGCTGAGACTCCTTCATTGAATGTGCCAGCAGCGACATATGGCAGCGATCCTACACGAACGTGGCACGATGGGCGGAACTTCCGAAGGGTCTAGCACTTAGAATTGTATTTAGGATCGATTTAAAATTTTGAGAGAATTTTTTTAACATATTGTACTATTTAATAATATGTAGTGTAACATGTACATGTAACCCCTTAATATTAATATCGTTGGCCGTAGCTAATCTTTACAGCTTTATTTAAGCGATAATGATGTATAGGCTGGCTAAGCAGGCACTACAACTCCTGTATAGTCTTATGTAACAGCTGAAGGCCAATTACTACCTGACTCATAGACTTTAGTCTGAGGGCACTATGTAGGCCTCGGCTCAGGCCGTTGTAATTTAGATTCCCGTTCGAGTGAGACAAAAGATCGATTACAGGGAGGACGGGAGGGAAGAAAAGGGTACAAATATGAAAAAAATCTTTCAGAATGTTCAATGCACTTTCTTCCTTTGTCATCCTTGAAAAATAATCCACATGGTATGTTATGGGCGAAATCATGGTCAAGTGTCATTTCGTTTATATAGGTTTTTCGTTTATCGTCAAGGATACTATCAAACAGATAGGATCAGTAATCAGTAACCCCATTGTTATCAATGTTTCATGTCTGCTCGATATCCACGCGGTCGCCCTTGGCAACCATAGTGGGTAATTCTTGGTGAACTTGGGGTACCAAATTTGAGTTCATTGTTATCCTATCATCCTACTAGTTACTCGCCAGGGCATTGCGTTAGCTAAGACACTATATTACCATCAATAATAAAATCCCACAATCCACAGTTAGGTATATTATCTTCTACAAAACTTAATTATCGGACTTTTGCATGGTACGCCTATGTCAAGATAATAAATTACTTTTTTAGATTAGGGTAAGCTTAAATTATCTCAGTAGGGGGCAAATATTTAAACAGAAAACCGGTTTAGAACACATAATAGTTTATTTACACTAAGTAATATTCACATAGTTCGTGTAAGCACGAGTGCCCTAATGTATAAAAAAAGTTACATTTACAATAAGCATGTAACGGTAGTAGGAACGAGGTTTAGTCTTAACACATGATAGTCTAAAATGGTCACTTTGATTAATAATAAAATTCTAAAATGATTCATAATTACAATTCATCTAATTTGACTACTTTCAATGAGGATCCGTAAAATTTTATAATGATAGAAATTTTATCGAATGAATTATAACATCTGAATCATTCCAGAACATCAAATGATGAACAAAGTGAACTTTTTAGATTCGAAGTACACATTACAATTTGAAACTTGCCTAAGTACATAGGGCTGTGATTCTAGTGAATCCTGATCAAGAGAAATTTTTTGTTTTGTTTTTCATGTTTAGGTTAATTTTCATACGAATTTCATTCGTTTAGTGTACCGGAATTAATCTCTTTGATTTTTGGAGTAGGCACATAATATTAATGACTTATGAATGATTCTGAACTGAACAATACTGACGCTATATCTTCATTTCTGTAGTCATTTTCTTATTTTGATTTTGTATTGAATAATACAACAAATCTCGTATCGAGCAATTATTTTCGTTTCTTTTTTTAATATTGTACCTGGAAATAATAAATATCTAATTGATATTGAAATATCAAAATTGCAGATAAATTAGGAATATTTACAAATATCGTTAAAATATTTTTTAAATTAGGCATGTATTATTCCCGACTTCATTTTTCTATTAGGTCGATCCTATCATTCGGAAATCTATTTTGTCTAAAATGAATAATGTTTAATTTAATTAATAAGAGAAATATTGTAAAAATGATAGAGATAATGGAATTTAGTTTATCACACGTTGGGAATAGCCAACTTAAATATATAGTAGCCAGATAAATTATTCACTGCAGATACTTCAAACATATTTGCAGATAATTAAATTATTAATAATCCGACAAGGTAAAATTCATTTGATTTGATTTGATTAGGAGTTTATGTTTATGTCATTAAAGGTCAGTATCTCAGAAGAAATATGTAATACAAGTATGTAAGCAAGAAGCTATGCTTCGAAATTGTAAAAGATTGGAATAAACGGATGATATAAACTATCTCAAAAGATCCCAAAATATAGTGCGTTGAAATATGGTTAATTTTATGTTTAAATATAATTATTGAACTAACTATTCCAGTGTTCAAAACGCATTCAGCAAATCAAATTAATGCGAGAATTAGTTATAGGTTCGCTTGCCCTCTACCAAAGTCGGATTAAACAGTGTTATGGGCTAGTAATTGTACCATCCTATTCTTTATGATTGTATAAATGAATATATATTATTATTTATCAAGTTAATCGTTTTATAGTTTCTAACATTCTAATATTTCGCATATAGATGTTACTGCTTATTTAGTTACTAATTAACAAGTAATGTATTCATTAATTTTAATTTCAAATACGTTTAATTAAACTGATGTAACTTATTTATAGTTGTAGTAGTAGATTATTCAATATATCATTTAACTGATTCACACATAAACTGAAGTGGCTGTATCTAAATGCTTTATTCTCAATTCATTTAAAATACTTGTATATTTGTACTACGATTAGGAAAAATCACGACATCTTACCACGTTTTATTTATTTTTATTGAGTTCGGTTGAAATTCTGCAGAAATATCGAGATGATTTTTGACGGGTGATTTTTCGTAATTGTACCTACGTACCCATAGGTAAATGTTAACCGCGTTATATTTATATATTTGGTTTTGAAATATTCCCCTGAATTTAAAAAGAATGCTTGTGGTACAAGTTATATATTTATGTATGTAGCAAATAAAATGTATTCTTTTTATACAATGAAGGGTTTTAATACTTTGATTTGTAATTAATAAATACAATCTAGTTAGCTTTATATCTCAGACATTTTATATAAGATAGCTAATTAATTAAGTACATTAAATACAGATAGTTTTGCGTCTACAATAAAAAAGAACAGATTTTTTCTGGACTAAATACATATGTTACAAGATATTTATAATAATAATTGAATATTTAATAAGTTATGCCTTCTCACTGAGTAAAATGAATAAAGTAAGTTACCTATGTACTTAGTTTAAATATTATTTTAATGTCGAAAAACAAAGTACCCGATAAATAAAAATAATAATTCATGAAATTATTCTGTGTCAAGGACAATAATAAAAATATTAAATTTGGCAAAATTTCAATTAAATTAAAGTGAGATAACATTACACTAATAGTCACTTTATTAATATTGGAAAGTTTTAAGTAAAAAATTTCACTTCTAACTAATTTAAAATTAGCAAAATTACTAATCGTAAATTAGACTAAGTACATATTTGTTTTTACATTTATTCAACAACTTTTTATAAACATTAATTAGTAGAATAATTTTAAACTAATAATCTACATTTACAATTAAAATTTATGTACAAAATTGGATTTGCAAGTATAATATCGCTGGTCTATAGAAACAAAGTTTGTATTTTTATATTGCACTTTTAAAAGTAAATATTAATTTCTAATATATAAAAAGATAATAAATTATTTTCTTCACTGGTTAAACATTGCTATACCTATTTCTATATGCCAGACAATAACAACCTGTCCACAATAAATAATTATAGTATCTCTATATAATGTTAAGTACTTAAATAATAAAATCAACTATCACATTTATTTCGAAGCTTCTTCATAATGTATTTTGTACAACGATAAACTACAACCTCGTATGTATTTATTTACAATTATATTTAAATAGTGATGTACTTGACTATTCTAGATTAGTGAAGGGATGAGCTAACGTCACTAATGAGTCTGTTTCGAAAATTAAATAGTGTTGCACATAAAGTTCATAATCGAAATCGATTTAATAATCGAGTACGCGACGATTGTAGTTAGCACTAGGCGCGATCGCCCGCGCCGCCTCGTTTCATTTTGACGCATTCACGACAAGATTTGTAGCCGCCTCCTCGCTCGCACCTATACTCATGGCTTTCTTCTTCAGTATTCCCAAATCAGTCACGTTTTCTAAGAAACTCTTATGCGCCGAGAGTACTTTAGCGCTCTCTACATCCTTTTTGAGTTCCTCCATATCTCGCTTCAGTTTTGCTCGTCTGTTTTGAAACCATGTGATTACTTGGGCATTGGAGAGTCCTAAGGAACTAGCTATCTCGTCTCTGTCGGCCGGCGATAAATACTTCTGGTAAAGAAACCGTTTCTCCAATTCGAATATTTGATGATTTGTGAAAGCTGTTCGTGATTTTCTCTTCTTTTTCGGCTGTGGTCTGGAGTTGAAGAGATTCAAGTGATTTGACTGACCATCTGAAACAATATAACGACTTATATTAATAAAATAAATAAAAAAAGACAAATTGTATCGTTCTGACATATTCAAATTAATTTGTACTCAGTATTACCAATTAAGAATTTATTAATTGATTTTTTATGATCAATTTATGGATCAAAAATCCGACTAATTCAATTTTACCAAGTCTATAAACCAGAAAGTGATCTTGTTTCCTTTCATATCATAAATGGAAAGTCGAGGGTTTGGTTTATAGATAAAATGGTTGCGTCCGAGTCGTTATCAGGCACTAAAACATTATTCGAGTCTATGACACTATAATAAAGTGCCCGCAGCGCTAAAATGTTATTTCACTGTCGTAAAGCATATAATAAAACACACCCAGAATCGTTACATTTTAACGAGCACACAATCACATACGGGCTGTTTTAAAATGGTTTTAACACAGTAAAACAATCAATGTAACTTTGTTAATATACCTAATATTAGATAGCTCGATTCTCTATCGCAGCTAATTGCAATTTTACGGGAAACTATCAGTTTTTACGCTGGCTAGAAATCCAATTTTCCTTTTATAGCTCTAATAAACATAACGGAAATGAAGATATGTATAACAATGGAGCTATCGGAATATCCGGTAGTCGGTGGCCTACTTTAAATGTAATATTTTCATGCATCCAAATTGTGTTTTGTATAATTGCTTCAGTGTAATTAGCATATTTTTTAAGGTTCAGCGTTTTTATTAATATTTGATAAAGTTTTTCATATTACCGTAATTTATTAGATATATAGAGAATATTTTATACCAGAGTATCATCAAACATTCAGTTCGCCTCGTTGTTGCAGCTAAAGTGGGATTTCACCATCATCTACTACCAATGATGAAGGTCGATCTTCATCCTTAATGGCATGAAGTCATGAATGGCATCGCCTTTATCATAGACAGCATAGATTAGAAGCCAGAACAGCCAGAAATAGCCAACCAGTGAGAATGTCAACTACTCAGGCTAAATGAACGACTATTTTCTATGAAAACTAATCAGGTCAGTATAACACTGAATTTGTATTATTATTAATATTGAATTTGTGAAACCTATTTATGTACATATACTCAATTACTATTTTTGACAAAGTCGTTTCTTTACTATACCTAAGTATTTAGAGAAAACAACTTCATGTACATAGTTGATTGATTGAAAACAGTATGAAATACGATTGATGTTTTTTTAATGTCTCAACTATACTTCACAATGCTTTTTAAATTGACTTATAAGTTGTAATAAATTAGAAAGAAATCTTATAATTATTAATAAATACGTTTTATTATTAGATTATTAGCAATTAGAAAACATGTGAAAGGATATTAATTTTCACATACATTTCTAAAACATATTTATTATTGTTATCTAAAATGAAATTATACTTATACTTAAACACATATAGAGATAATTTTTTTAATGTAGCTAAAATATATTATATAAAACATGGTTTTAATTGAACATTAGGTATAAGTTACAAAAACAAGATTCTTTTATGCAGCAATTGCCTTGTACTAAAACTTCTGTGTGTACGTGTGTGTCAACATCTGTCTGCCTTTGCCTCTATCGCCATACAATATACTTTGCATGGTGATGGGGAAATAATACTTGGGGACATATAGCTCGGAATCACCACATATATTGAAATGCTCATGCCCATTATTGTATATAGCCGACTATTACCAGATACTATAAGTTATGCTATTTGAGTTGCAGAGCAAATTCAAAAAGATATTACCAAAACCCACACATTGTAATCCCGTTAATGTTTCATTAAAAATGTTTACACTTGTAATAGCATAACCTCTGCTATTTAATTTTGTGCTCGTAAAAAGAATCATTACCAACGCGACCTCCAGATATATTTTGAGATGTTACCACACCGGTATTCGCAAGTCTGTGTGGTAAACCACAGAAATTAATAAAATAACACATTACACTTTAAGATCTGTGTCGTTAGTTTAACTGCCTATGCATTGTCGAATCATTGGAATTTTTAACAGAAAATATCATGCTTTGAGACGGACCGCATGTTTAACTGATACTTTAGTGGTCGAAAAATTATAATAAACTCCATAAGGGTAAATTGAAAATATTTTTAGGCACAAAACTAATGGTTTACCTCATATCGTTTATATATTACTCATGTGAAATGAATTCATGTGAATGTTGATGTAACTTTTATTATTTTGTAATCCTGTTTTGTTATTTTGTAAATATTACGTAGTGACAAATGTTATTGTATTATTTATTATGTAATTTATTCTCTCTTTAACTAGTCGTTTTTGTCTTTGCATATTCCTATCCTTATTATTATTTTGTAACTAAACTGATATTATAAATTTTTCTATTTTTTTACTTGAAATGACGTAATTGATTTTGAGAATTGTTTCTGATAGAAAACACTAGAACATAGTACATAATTAAAAAATAGATATCACTATAACAACGATAGCAGTACCACGGGGCGAAAAAAAAGAACGTACTTCATTATTGATCTTGTAATTATAAATCTACTATATCTTGTATATGCATGTTTACCTCATTAGTGCCCGCGTAATCTACTCAATTAAAAACAATAACTTAGTTATTGTTCAGATACCCCAACACTAATTTGAATTTAAATGCAATCACATTTATTACGCGTCGATTTACTTCGGTCACCGTCACGTTCAATTTAAGAATTACAGAAGATTGCCAATTCATTTATAAAATACATGTAATATACCGTCAGCACCAAAATGGCACATCAGCAGTATTAATCATGGCCTAATCGCATCCTTAGCGAATCAGAACCTCAATTAGGACTGTATAAAACAGCAAAACTGCCAAAAAAGCGCTACGTCCAACAGACATCGTTAGGTCGCTGGCAAAAAATCACTAATCGGACACGGCTCTGTGAATTGTGACTGTGACGCATATAGCATTGATGTTTTTTTTTATTGGATGATAATGGTATGGTGTGGTGTCTTCGCTAACGGTATACGGCTAACAGGGCATCAAGGAGTATGATAGAATGAGCATGAAGTCGATTGACTTTACGCTCCATTCCATCCAGCTTGGTTTCCAAGGAGGAGGTCTATATCACATAGCATATTGCATGCAATGCACTACTTAATCCCTGTTACTAATACCCCCCCCCCTCCCCCTCACTAGCGTCGATCGTTACTTGTCGATAATAAGAAATCTACTCGAATTATTATTCAACGGACGCGACGTCTAGAATATTTTATTGCTATTTTTTGCATTAATTATACTGTCATACCTACCTATTACCCATTTCCGTCAGGTAATTAATAAGATATCGATAGATCTTAAGCTTTAGATACTTAAATACCTACTAATTATACTTAAAATTATTTATAATAGGATTATAGTCATAAGAATATTATGATATTAAAATGTTAATAATCTAAATCTTAATCTAAGCGTAGATCAATGTAAAGCGTTTAAAATATCGATCACAGGAAAATTTTGGGTTACTGTTATATTACTTTCTTCATTGTTGTATTCAAATCATGAAAGTCTAACGTATAAATATAGAATTTATTAGTTTTATGCAATTGTTCAATTTCTTTTTTACACATAGTATATTTTAATTAATATTATAACCTACATGTAGGTTATAATGTTATCATTATGAACCAAAAAGGCAGTTTATTGTCCGTACGACCTGCCGTTTATCCCATCACTCTATTTTAGAGACTACCAACTATCTGTTTCAGCTATATATCCCAAAAGGTGGCGGAGTCAGCTCTCTTAATTTTCTAAATATTATATTTTTTGCAATGAGGCCTAAATAAGCTACCACCGACTTACTAGACTACTATGTTATCTACTTTTTGTTACTAATATTTCAAAGGTTTTTTTTTATTCAATAGGTACTTGAAAACTCGTCTTTTTATATTGTTGCTTAGGATTGGCTACTTAATTAATTCTTCAATAGCATCACGTAGGAACCAGGTTTGTGAGGACCAAGTCAGGACCCTATACATTGATTTTATAGAAAATACTTGTTAGCGTAGCTATTATAAGTACATTGCTCTTTTTGTATGATTAGAAGAGACAACTTTCCACTGTAAAGAAGCAAGTGATTGTGTTCTTGTGTTTTTGTTGTATTTTGAAAAAGTTTAGTTGTTCTGCTTTGATATAATGAATGGAGTTGAATCCAATACAGATCGATACGCACGTTTTACGCATGTAGCTAATAATGTTTAAGAAGTTATAAAGGTGTGTATACACTTGTTACCGGAAATTATTTATCCTTCTAATTTTAGTAACAATAAGGAAAATTTATGAGGATGGATGATGTTTTTTTCTGGATGATAATGGAATGCTGTACTCGCCTGCGTATAGGTTTACACTGACGGGGCACTAGTGGAGGATGATATAATGATGATGCTAAATTCACGATATGCTCAATATATTATTTAAATTAAAACTATAATGATCAGTGATTGCTAATTTTACTTCAAAACAAATTCAGATTGTATAATGATTGTTAACATAGGCTACCATATGCATAGGATTCATATTAAGTATATTAATATTAGTTTGAAGTTACTGTTTATAAAAAGGACGAAAAATTATATTTAATTGATTGAAAATTTCTCCCTATATTTGCTCGCCAGAAATCACTACACCTACAGTTACACCTTTAGTGCTCGTGATGTTTGAACAAAAGCTGTATACAGCGCGTTAACGATCACAAATTGAATGTCCTGCTTAAGTTTTTTCTCTAAATACTTAATTTTTTCCTATCGTACGCCTTGTTATGCGGAACCCTGCATAAGGAATCTAACAGAAAAAGTCTTTTTCTCATGTCCGTTTCTATTGTGCGCAGAAAAAGCATAGCGAAACCGAATATACGCGTAGGTAGTTTACCAATACCAATGGATTTTAAAGAACTTGATTGATGTAGATCGATTGAATTCGTATGAGCTTTAAAACAGAATTTTTAGTATATGTTATGATTTTTT